TGGCCATCCCATTGGACTACTAGCGTAAAGACAATTATTGCACATCTACAAGCACACACTCTTCTATTCTACGCAGATGGCTATCCTCCGTTGAAAATGGCCGCTCTGATTAGACTACAGTCAAGAGTATTTCATTATATGGCTGACAAGACCAAAATTTTTCATAAATCACTTGTTTATATAACAGAAATAGAAACAGTTTTGTCATAGTTACACACTTTCAATGTAGAGAATAAAAGGGTTTTAGACATTTAAAGAAAGAGTACGGTTCGACAGATAAGGCTGCAGTTGAAGGTGATAAGGGCACCGATGACAGTCATGTAGAGCAATCGGACTAAGAAACAGAAGAAGGCGTAGCAACAACCGGCGCTGCTACATTTAAATACTCAGTTTGGTTCGACGGATAATGCTACAGTTGAAGGTGATACAAGCATCCATGAAATGGCTATATCATCTAAAAAATGTGAGAAAGAAGGTCAGAACAGATATGAATTGAACTAAGGATGAAATAATTTATTAAATTATACATTATTGTAACTGGCTTTCATGTTTTCATCGTTGCTCAAAGGCACAAAAATGACTGTGGTAAAAAGTATTGTGGCACTCTGTATATTCCGTATATAGTTCGTATGTTTTGCTCACTTCATGCGTCCGTTCATGATGGAAATGATGTGTGGCACTCTGTATATTCCGTATATGGTTCCTATGTTTTGCTCAGTTCATGTGTCCATTCATAACGGAAATGATGTGGCACTCTGTATATTCCGTATATGGTTTGTATGTTTTGCTCACGTCATGCGTCCGTTCATGACAGAAATGATGTTGCACTCTGTATATTCCGTATATTATGGTTTAATTGCGTTGCTTACTTGATGCGTTGACATTGAGACCGTCCCTATCCCGTATGAAATCATAGCAATTTTCGTAGTGCAACTGTTATACTTGATGAGCTGTCGGGAGTAACATTCCTTGCGAAGAAACCTTTGTTATTTTTTTTAAAGAAGAGTGGGCACACGAATATGCGGCTCACCTGATGGTAAGTTTCGACTGCTGCCCGTCAATATATGCAACAATAAGGGATTCGCAGGTGCATTACCGGCCATACAACATACAACAACTTACGTGGGAGGTATCGATATATATATTCATTTTTTTTATTATTGGTTAGCTATAAAATAAGTTGACCTGTTTGCCTACCTTGTTTAACATCACAACTTGCAAAAGTATTTACAGAAAAATAAAATTTATTAAAAAGTTTATGCTATAGTAACATTTATAAGAAATTTATCTAGGCCGTAATAATTAACACATCCGTAATCAGTAAACGACTACTAGAAAACATTTCCTGACTTTCGTGTTTGCCGAAAATTTTCAAAGCATGTATTAAATATTCTCTATAAATTAATTTAAAAAGTTTTTTTAATTTTTTTTTTATAGGAGAGGGGCAAACGAGCATGCGGCTCACCTGATGGTAAGTGACTACCGCCGCCCATGAACAACTGCAACACCAGGGGAATCGCAGATGTGTTGCCGGCCTTTTAAAAAGGAGTACGCTCTTTTCTTGAAGGTCCCTAAGTCGTATCGGTCCGGAAAAATCGCTGATGGTAATCGATTCCACAAGGAGGTCGTGCGAGGAAGAAAACATCTTCTAAATCGCACAGTGGTGGACCGCCAATCATCCAGATGGTGTGGATGGTATCGGGAGTTCTGCCGCGATGTGCGTTCGTGAAATTTGGCGGCTGGGATTAATCCGAACAATTCCTCAGAGCACTCCCCATGGTAGATGCGAAAGAAAATGCAAAGGGATGCAACATCTCTTCGCAGTGCCAATGAATCGAGCCGATCGGAAAGGGCTCGGTCGTCGACAATTCGAGCCGCTCTGCGTTGGATGCGGTCAAGTGGAAGGAGCTGGCACTGGGAAGCCCCTGCCCAGAGATGGGAACAGTATTCCATGTGAGGCCGAACTTGCGCCTTGTAAAGTAACAGTAATAACCTTGGAAAAATATATATTTGTATAACAATTGCCGTATATTTAGCAACTCAGATTTTCAGCAAAAATGATATATAAATCATCATATTATGTAATTTTTTTTTCAAATATATATTTTACATATGATTTCTTATAGGATATTTTTGCATTAGCATTTGGTTAATCATAATCTCAGGAAACATTACAGCCTATGAGTGATCCTGTTTAGAGATTATATCTTTTTCTTCAGTGCTGACATCTATAGCTTCGTTTTTTCAAGCAATCACATTCGCAGATGTTGAATTAATCCTTTTCGTAGGTTCACACTTGACGCTGCTAATGTTATGTATAACATTTCTTTACGTGGAATGGCACTGTCCTTCATATATCTTTTGTGATGTATGGATAAGAAGTCAGTTGGGAAAAATATTAGTTAAGTCTTCCATGCCTTCTATCCATATTTTTATGTCCTGATATCCAGGAAAGCTGAATAAATTGGTTTATATAAATAAAAATTTATCTTGGCTTATCTAAAAAAGTACCACTAGTAGTATAAAGTACAGTAGTGAGTATTTGTAGGCCAACACCAGGCAAGAGTAAAATCGGAAGAATAAGTATGAATATATATATATATATATATATATATATATATATATATATGTATATATATTGTAGTAGAAGATAGAAGTCTCCCTTCCCCTGCAAGTCCTAATGGTATAAAAACAGTGCGCGCGACGCGACGCCCTTCTTTTGCGTGGGGCCGTTATACATGTAAGATTGTTCCTAGCATTAGTTTTGTTAATTTTCCTTTTGTGTGTGAATTAAAAAAATTGTGTTATCATTCTTTCCTCTTTATTTAAAAAAATAACCTCGAATAAGTTTTACATAAGATCAGAAGTGAGATTAAAATACTTACGCGATTCCTTGGCGTTCGCCATTTTGATTCCTTAACTACGCGAATCTTTTGTAAAGAGGAAGGAATTTCGGGATGTGAACGTCGCCGCAGTCGACACAATGGTCGAGAGCGACGACGTAGTAAATACCGTGCTCATACTCCGGTTGATGATCTGAGTAAAGGGATACTGTGTTGGCGCGTTTAAGTGCTTTAGAGAACAGTTTGCTAGCTACCCACACTTCGCAACCTGCTCGCGATTCAACGCCGCCATTCCGGCGCTGGTCAACGTCTCCTGTGGCTAGATGTGTGACGTCACCACTCCGCAGCCAGTCTACGCCACCGCGTGAACACCGTATAATGCGTTCCGAAACACCGCCCCTACCAACACGGGCACCGATTGAACCGCATGTTAGTAGGGACGTGGAAAACGCGTCGGCACGTATCCTGAGTGAAGAAAATACGTCGTCTACGGTGTCTAATCGAATAGTTGATGCAATTCGTTCTATCAACACGGGAGCGAGTTCTAGTCAACACTACTACGTTTCGAACTTTGACCCCAGTATTCACAATATTGAAGTTTGCTGCAAAGAGGTAGATCGCGCTAAAACTTTGAATAATTGATCTGATTACGAGTGCCTCTCACGTATAGGTAATTGCTTAAAAGGTGACGCCAAAATATGGTTGAACGAGTGGGTAACGAGCGACCGTAGTTGGAGTAGTTTTAAAAAGGAGTTCGTTCCGTTGTGTCCGAAATCACCGGACATTGCAAATATTTTATACGAGATAATGAGTACAAATTCTGATAACTACCCTACATACGCTGACTATGCTCGTCGCTCGTTACTTCGTTTACGTATTGTACGGGGGCTCAGTGATAAGTTAGTGTCTGCAATTGTAATACGCGGGATTACTGATCCACAAATACGAGCAGCCGCCACTAATGCTAAGCTATTACCTGACCAGCTAGTCGAATTTCTCTCTATCTATGTAAAACCAATTATAAGTAAAATAATAATACTCGGCCTGCATTGTCTCAAAATACAACCTTTTTCAAAAATGATCCGTCTCAAATTTAAATCCACGGAAAAGACGTTTTGACGAAGGACGGTGCTTTTTGTGTGGCCAATCGGGACATAGATAGTCTAATTGTAATAAAAAACTTAAAGTTGAAAAAGGTAAAAGCCACTCTAAAGCCTCCAGTAGTGAAAGTTCAAAGCCTGTCTTTGTGCCAACTAAGCCTGAAATATGTTCTATCTGTAAAAAGGTCGGCCATAAAATTGAAACTTGTTTCGCTAAGCATAAGTCAGAGTTACGTAACAAAAATGAGGTAAGCTTTTGTCGCGAAAATCAAAATACCCGCAATAGTGACGTTGTGGTAGCCGTTATTCAGGGAGTGCCGGTAGATATTTTAATTGACAGCGGGTCAACTATATCGCTTATTTCGTCATCCTTGTTGAAACATTTTGATTGTTCACGTAAGCCAGCGTTTCGAGTGTTAAAGGGACTGGGAAGTCAGGAACTCGAAAGCACGTCGTACGTAACTTTACCAATCGAGTTTGATGATCTAACCCTCGAAGTAGATTTTTTCGTGGTGGCCTCAGAGTTCATGAATTCGCCGATTATAGTGGGCACAGATGTTCTTAACAGGGAAGGCGTTCGATGTGTTCGTACGCGTGATTTTCAGTCACTTGTGAGGGAAACGAGTAAATCAAGCAGCGTGATGACTGTTCTGTCAGAATTGTTGGTAATCATTTGCATCAGTTACTGGTAATCATCAATGAATTTACAGAATATTTCATATGGGGAACTGCTACGTTCACTGTAAAAACCGGTAGCATGTCAATTAAATTAAGCAACTATACTCCAATTAACTATAGACCATACCGTCTTGCTTTTGCTGAAATCCTTCGCGTTCGGGACATAATTAAAGATCTGTTAGAAAAAAAAATTATCCAAGAGTCAGAGTCCGAATATGCGAATCCCATCCTTCTTGTTAAAAAGAAAGACGGATCGAACCGCATGTGCGTAGATTTCCGTAAACTCAATGAAGTTACCGTCAAGGATCGGTTCCCGTAACCGAGGATCGATGATCATATCGATCGATTAGGACAAAATAAGTATTTTACAAGCCTTGATATGGCAACGGGATTTCACCAGATCCCTCTGGAAAAAGAATCGGTCGTTACGGGGTTTGTCACGCCCGAGAGGCACTATGAATATTTAAAGATGCCTTACGGTTTGGCCAACTCACCGATTGTATATCAACGCATTATAACAAAAACCCTTCGTGAATTTATTGAACCTGGTGACATCCTGGTGTACATTGACGATGTTTTGATTCTCAGTAAGACCATAAAACAGGGGCTCGATCTTTTACGCGACGTACTTACGACTTTAACGCAAGCGGGTTTCTCAATTAATTTGAAAAAATGTTCTTTTCTGTCAAGAGAAATTGAATACTTAGGCCGTTGTATAAGTGAGGGTCAGGTACGACCGAGCCGAAATAAAGTCAAGGCTTTGATGGATAGCCCTGAGCCGAAAGGTGTCAAGCAAGTTCGCCAGTTCATGGGCTTGGCCAGCTATTTTTGCAGGTATATACCTGACTTCGCTCAGAAAACTGCATGTATTGCGGTCTTAACACGAAAAGGAGCTGAATTTAAGTGGGGTGTGGAGCAGCAATCGGCTCGTAAGGATATTATTGAGTGGATAACGAGCGAACCTGTACTTGCAGTATATGATCCTTCCCTGCCGATTGAAGTTCACACAGACGCAAGCTCCATTGGGTATGGGGCTGTCCTTATGCAAATACACGAGGGTGGGCATAAGCGAGTGGTAGCTTATTTCAGCAAATTGACGCAGGGAGCTGAAAATAAGTATCATTCATATGAGCTCGAAACTCTTGCGGTAGTCCGAGCCTTGCAGAACTTCAGGCATTATCTTGTCGGTATACGTTTCACCGTGGTCACTGACTGTAACGCGCTTAAACTTACTCAACGTAAAAAGGATTTATTACCCAGGGTGGCCCGGTGGTGGCTGTACCTACAAGATTTTGATTTTGGTTTAGAATACCGTGAGGATTCCTTTATGTCACATGTCGATTATTTAAGTCGGAATCCGGTCAATGATTGTTCTGTGGAAAAGCCCCTAAATTGGGCACGCATTGCTCAGGCATCTGATGAGGAGACTCAGACTCTAATACAGAAACTAACTGACGGACAGTTAGACCCCTCTCGATACGTAATTGAAAACGGTCTTTTGTATGTTCATTATTCCCCTACCGGGGAACATTCTCGATTTCTATGCTACATTCCTAAGGGACATAGATTGAGTTTACTTAGTGTTTCATGACGAACATGATCATTTGGGGATTGATAAAACTTTCGACCTAATAACAAAGCATTTTTGGTTCCCGGGGTTACGAAAGTTTATTCAGAAGTATATTTCACATTGTCTAGTGTGCATTTCGCATAAAAAGGTTGCACGCGCTTCTTTGCAAACAATTTATTCGTGGGAAAAACCAAAATTGCCTTTTGAAACCATCCATATAGATGCTTTAGGGCCCCTTCCCAAGGCAGATGGTTATCATCATTCATCATTCATCATTACAGCCCTTCACAAGTCCACTGCTGAACATAGGCCTCCCCCAAAGAATGCCACAAAGCACGGTCCTGAGCCACCTGCATCCATCGACCTCCCGCATGTCTTACCAGGTCGTCACTCCATCTCGTGGGGGGACGCCCTACACTTCGCCTACCGGTACGAGGCTGCCACTCGAGAACCTTTCTTCCCCATCGGTTGTCGGTTCTTCGAGCTATATGGCCGGCCCACTGCCACTTCAGCTTACTAATCCGTTGGGCTATGTCGGTTACTCTGGTTCTACTGCGGATATCCTCATTCCTAAGTTTGTCACGCAGAGAAACTCCGAGCATAGCCCTCTCCATAGCTCGCTGAGCGACCTTGAGCTTCCTGACTTGACCTGGCAACGTACAACGCACGCACCCTGAGGACTGACGAGAAGATCGTGGAGCTGGAAGAAGAGATAGACAAGTTGCGCTGGCATATTATAGGATTATCCGAAGTCCGAAGAGAGGGGGAGGACACGGTAATCCTCGAATCCGGCAACTTGTTCTATCACCGGGAGGGCGACCATCTGTCCCAAGGAGGTGTCGGATTTATCGTCCACAAGTCTCTCGTTAACAACGTTGTAAAGATCGGGAGTGTGTCGACGAGGGTTGCGTACCTTATACTCAGAATCACCAAACGGTATTCGCTGAAGGTCATACAGGTTTACGCACCAACCTCGGCACACCCCGATGAGGAGGTGGAGGAAATGTATGAGGATATCTCTAGAGCCATGCATTCCTCCAAAACCCAATATACGGTGTTAATGGGAGACTTCAATGCAAAACTAGGCACAAGAGAGAACGGTGAGCTGAAAGTAGGGAAATTTGGAATAGGGCAACGGAACCCAAGGGGCCAGCAGCTGGCCGACTTCATGGAGAAAGAGGGACTCTTTATGATGAACTCTTTCTTCCAGAAGCGGCCCCACAGGAAGTGGACCTGGTCGAGCCCCGACGGTTCGACAAAAAATGAGATTGACTTCATTATGACGACCAGACGACAACTGTTCAGTGATGTCTCCGTGATCGCGAGGGTGAAAACTGGTAGCGATCACCGAATGGTTAGAGGCACACTGAACCTAAACGTTAAGTTGAAGAGGTCTCGTCTAATGAAGTCAACGCTCCGTCCCCCTCGTGCTCTGTTCCAAAGTCCCGAAACCTTTCAGCTCGAGTTACAAAACCGTTTTCAGTGCCTAGAAGACTGCAATGAAGTGGACGATATGAATGACAAGCTCGTGGAAACTGTCCATGCGGTCGGAGCTAAGTTCTGCAAGACCCGCCGCAGAAGAACACAAAAACTCTCCGATCACACTCTTAATCTCATGGCTGTTAGACGGAAGATGAGGCTACATTCTTCAACAGACTTGACAGCATACAGGCATCTGAACAGACAGATCTCCAAATGCATGCGGCGGGACTTACGCAACTTCAATACAGCTCGTATTGAAGAAGCGATCGAGCGGAACCAAGGCTCCAAAGTCTTTGCCAGAGATCTGTCTGCCAGAAAGAGCCAACTGTCAAAGCTGAAGACAGAATGCGGCAGCATCGTTTCCGGGACACCTGAGATTTTGAGTGAGATTGAGAGGTTCTATGGGCAGCTGTACACGTCATCGTTGGAGCCACACGCAAGTGTGAGTAACGATCCAAGAGCGAGTCTCATCCGACACTATTCCGAAGATATCCCGGACGTCAGTCTGAGCGAGATTAGAATGGCTCTCCAGCACCTTAAAAACGGTAAGGCCCCAGGCGAGGATGGAATTACAGCGGAGCTTCTGAAAGCGGGTGGAAGACCGGTACTTGAAGTCCTTCAGAAGCTCTTTAATTCCGTCCTCCATGGTGGCATTACACCGGAGGCGTGGAGCAGAAGTGCGGTGGTCTTGTTCTTCAAGAAAGGTGACAACGCTCTCTTGAAGAACTACAGACCGATTTCCCTTCTGAGCTTCTCGAGCGCGTCACCTGTGATCGACGCGGCGCCTGCACTCTCCATAGAAGATAGAAGTCTCCCTTCCCCTGCAAGCCTTAATGGTATAAAACAGTGCGCACGACGCGACGCCCTTCTTTTGCGTGGGGCCGTTATACATGTAAGATTGTTCCTAGCATTAGTTTTTGTGTGTGAATTAAAAAAATTGTGTTATCATTCTTTCCTCTTTATTTAAAAAAATAACCTCGAATAAGTTTTACATAAGAATATATATATATATATATATATATATATATATATATATATATATTCGTATGTAAAAATAAGAAATATATATATATATATATATAATGAAATATATTATATTTTTTTTACTTTTAACACAAAATGGTCTCACCTAACCTAACCCTTTTTAGGTGATTTGCGTGAAGTGAACAAACAGTATGTAGTAATGATCAGTAACCAGAAGACCGAATCTAAAAATGTTATTGAAAAATTTCTATGGTACCTACAGGTACAGGGAACCAAATTGCAATTTAATAAAAAAAATGTCATAACAATTTATTCTTAGGTCATTGAATTATTATTTTTCATCGTATTCGATCGCATCTATTTAGTTCATTATACCAAGAACAATTTTAAAAGCGACAATATTTTCCGGTCCACCGGTATCAGTAAAATCTGACATCCCAAGTACTGTTGTTTTTACACAATCAATATTTCTTTATTAACTTACTGATGATAGGATATACCACTTTTATTCAAATTCCACATCCTGCTGTTTTTCCGACGCGTAATTATACCACAAATCGGCATTTTAGAAATAAATTTCCCCCGCTACGATTGATACAAAAATTGGGTAACGACTGTGACGTCAAAAAGAGATGTGTTGACATTTATAGGTGTGAATTGACATGTTAGTGCTACACGGGAACCGCCCAGTCCGCCTTTCTATTGAATATGTATTATAGTATTCTATGATAAACACAGAAAAATTCTAACATTTTAAGTGCTGGGTACATCAAATACACCAAACAACCTGATACTAATCTAAGACTTAACAATCCACAATGCAAAATATAAAGATAAAAAGGTTTTAAAATCTCCCATAGATTTAAGGTTTAGTTCAAATTTCAAAATCATCAAAAACAAACAGTATAAAGTCTATTTAAAAGCAAGTCATGTCTTCGAACAAAGTTCTGAAGATGAATCATTAGCAAAACAGCAGTGACGCATTGTTTGTTTTGTTTGAAAGACATTGAAACAAACTCAAACTGCAATTTAGTTGGCAAGTAACACAAAAAGTTTTATTTAATATATTTTCTTTGTAGATTGATATCCTTCTTGTTTTTTCAAAAGACGTATTTCTGAATTAATATCTAGTTATTGTGTATAAGTGACAAGCAAACACAACATTGTAATATGAGGTATTGTAAATGAAACTTTGATAATCAAAGTTTTGCCCTTTAATTATGTTTAGTTTAATCAATACATACTGGTTTTTTTTTTATACGATAAGGGCGACAAACGAGCACACAGTCCACCCGATGGCAAGCGGTCGCTGCGGCCCATAGACATCCACATCCATCCTCTGCCACAAATCAAAATGCAGATGCGCTGTCACCCGTGAGGACCAAGATGGAATGCCTCATTACCAGTAAAAAGGGCCTCCGGCCACCTGCACTCACCAAGCGAAACGCAGAGGTAAACCTCTACTTCACGCTGGTTTTCTGTGAGGTCGTGGTACCACCCCGGTTCGAGCCGGCCCATCCATGCGACAGCAAAAGCTGCCGCGTGACTCTACCACTGTTGACACTACCACTGGTATAACATTTGCTTGCATATTAGCACTAGTTAGTGATCACAGGTCTTAAAATCCAGTTTAAATACGAGGGTGACACTCAAAGTTCTTAGAAAATCGAAAACTGAACAAACTAGCAAGTTATTAGTTTTGTTATATCTTTTCAAAATAGTGTCCATTTACATGAATACATCGCTGCATCCGATGGAACCACTGAGAAAAGCACTTTGCCCACTCGTCTTTAGGAGTCTCGTCGACGCCCTTTTGAAACGCAGCTACTGCTTCCTCGGCGTCCATAAAACGTTTTCCTCGGAGTTTTTCTTTTATTTTCGGAAATAAATAAAAATCGCAAATTGCGAGGTCAGGGCGGGTGACCCAGTAATTCCACGTCTGACGTCGCCAAGTAGTCGATTGTTTGCTTGGCGGTGTGCGAAGAGGCGTTGTCGTGGTGAAGGAGGATCCTACTGCGAGGTCGTTACTCCCGAACTTTTTCCAAGACAAGTGGCAAACAATTGTTAGTGTACCACTCTGCAGTAACTGTTTTTTGATCCTCTAAAACAATTGTTGCGTATTGACCTGTCCTTCCGAAGAACGAGGCCACCATATTTTTTACCTCGCTTCGATCACTCTTCACTTTAGTTGGCAACTCCTCGGAAGGAAACACCCAGACAGCAGACTGTCACTTAGTTTCAGGATCATAATAATAATTTCAGCTTTCGTCACCCGTAGGTATATCAAACACAGCATTTGAGTCACCTCCGTTAAATCTTTAAACCATTTCGCGACACCAATCAACACAACAAATTTTTGGGCCTCTGTCAAATTATGAGATATCCACCGAGCACAAAGCTTCCTGAACGTTAAATATTTATTGTCCGAATCTGCTGATAAGTCACTCTTTTGTCAGTCTCTATCATACACCGCACAACACTGATGTTATCTTCAGTCGTCACAGTAGAAGGCTGTCCCTCACTCAGATCATCGGTGAGATTAGTGCAACCACGCT